CACTGAGGTGGGACCATGGGCCACTGACTCCCCAGTACAAGTTCTCCCCCCACAGTGTCCCCTCCTCCTCTATTCCTACACGCAGATCCACCCATGCTCCATGAGGGAAGTTCATAGCAATAGATCACTGGCCATGGGTTATGCTACCCCAAGACTAGCATAATGCCCACCCCAATTAGATCAGCATGATGTATCCAATAGCATGTTGAGGGTGTGGGATCTCATTCTCCTCTGTGTTCACCATGTGGTGGAGCTGATCTGTCCAGGATTCAGCTCCATCCTCCCCTCCCCTCCCAGCAGAAGCTTGCAGGGAGTGACACTGGGCTCCTAGCAGCCTACACAGCACTGCAATCCCCAAATTGAGTGTCTGCCTGTTTTCCCTTCCTGCTTCTCTCATCTGTTCTTCACCTGTCTTCCCTTCCTGCTTCTTTCCTGGTGTCCCATGCAGTCACTTCAGTTCCCTCACAGCACTGTCTCTAAGCAGAGCGGTCCAAATGGAGGTGCTTGCACACATTTCTCCCCACTTATGTCGGGGGCTGCAAGGGGTTGCTGCTTGACTATCATCTTGGCTTCCTCCATATTCTCTTCTTAGCCTTTTAATGTCTGTAGAATTTGTAATGGTGTCACCTCTTATATTACTAATATTGTAATTTGTATCTTCTCTCTTTGTTGAGTTTCTTAAAGAACCATTTATTGGCTCTGTTGATTTTCTCTATTTCTGTTTCCATTTCAATTGTTTCTTCTCTGATCTTATTTCTTTTTTTCACTTTACTTTGGGTTTAATATGCACTTCTTTATCTAGTTTCTTTCTTTTTTAATTTTTTTTATTAAATCATGGCTGTATACATTAATTATGGGGTACAATGTGCTGCTTTATATACAATTTGAAATATTTTCATGAAACTGGTTAACATAGCCTTTACTGCATTTTCTTAGTTATTGTGTTAAGACATTTATATTCTGCACTTAGTAGATTTAACATGTAGTTTCTTAAGGTAGAGTCTGAAGTCATTGATTTGACACCTTTCTTCTTTCCTAATATAGGAAAGAAGGTAATTAAATATACATGATTATCTAAATGCAATTTTTTTCTTGAGTATTGTTTTAGCAATACCAAACAAGATTTGATATATTATGCTATTACTTTTATTTAGTTCATTTGCCCTTTCATTTTTTCCTTTGATGCATGGATTATTTAGAAGTGTTTTATTTTATTTCCAAATATTTGGAATTTTCCAGATTATTGGTTTCTAATATAACTCCATTGTGGTCAGAACACATGCTTTGCACAAACTGAATTCTTTTAAATTTGCTAAGGCTTATGTTATGACCCAGAATATGGATTAGCTTGGTAAATATTCCATACTGTATACTTTAAAAGAAAAGTATATTCAGTGTTATTCAAATCTTCTCTTTGTTGATTTATGCCTACTTTTATTAATTATTAAGAAAGGGTTATTGAAATCTTTGAATATGATTGTAGGTTTGTCCGTTTCTCCTTGTAGTTCTATCAGTTTTTGCTTTATGTATTTTGAAGCTCTCTTATCAGGTTCATAAATGTGTTTTAGGATTATTGTACCTTATTGATGGATTTACCTCTTTATCATCATAAATGATTTTCTTTATGACTATTAATATTATTTATTCTATAGTCTACTTTGCCTGATATTACTATACAGCATTTTCTTAACTAATGTTAATATGGTATATCTTTTCCAACTTTTTGCTTTTAACCTGTTTGTGTCTACATATTTAAAGTACATTTCTTATAGACATTTCTTATAGTATATTTTTGGGTTTCCTCAACATAGATAGTCTGCCCTTCTCTGCCTGGGTCTTCCCTCCTATGTTATGACCTAAAAACTCTTCAGACAATAAGATGGGACAACATGAAACAAATGTTGTTTGTTTCCTATCTCTCAGAAACAGGACTTTATATATGATGAGGTGAGTTTGCCCACAAGATAAAAAATTTAAGACAATAATCACTATCCAATGTATAACATAGGAGGAATGCCTCCTCCTTAGACTGTGTACCCTAGGGAACTCACTCTTAGGAAGGCGCTCAGGTTGTGCAAGTACAGATTTAGCACCTGAGAGTAAATGTTTCTTTTAATTTTGTACCATAAGGGCCTCACTCAGCTCACCATAGTGTTGGTCCTGCTTAAAGATCACTGTTCTTCATTGCCTATTGGGTAGTTTCTTAAAAACCATTTTTAAGAATATATTTTGTCTGGATTATTGGTTATCTCAACTAGGAGGGTCAGTTTAGTCCCTGTTACTCCATCTTTTCTGGAAACAGAAACCTGGACATTACTTGTTCTGAGATAAAAATCACACATAATGAACTACCTGAGGTTGCTACCTAAGCACGTACTACACTTAATCTTAGCCAGTAGGCCCAGAAATTATCGGAACACCTACAGTATACCATTTTCTAGGCTAGAAACTGGAGTTAAAATCAAATAAGACATGGTACCTGTCTACCAGTTGATCATAGCTGGTTTCCTTAGAACTAACAGATCAGCTCTTTCATACCATGCATCACGTGCAGCCAGGTGGGCAGCAGTAGAGGGAAAGTGGTCAAACGAAGGTAGAAAGCCATCAAAAGTCAGATCTGAAACTGGGAGATCATCTCTACTAGTTCTCAGGCCCAGCATGGCTTAATGACTCACTTAAGCTCACACAGGTAGTAAGTAGTAGTTCATTGCTAGGTAGTCTATTTAGGACTCAATCCAAAACAACTTCCCTCACTGTCAGTCACCATTATTGAAATCCCACCATCAGAGACCCATTCACTAACGGCAGGGGCTGTATCCTATTCATATTTGTGTTTTTCAGTGTTAACTCAGACCCTGCTATGTGATAGAAATGAGTATATGAGTGAATCAAAGATGTGTGTGGGAGGTGACTCACATTATTATCATTTGGAGATGAGTAGACTATTGAGAGCAAGCCCACAACTGGGAATCATGATAGAAAGGCAATGTGCTATAGTGGAAGAGAACTCTGTGCTAGATCTTGATCCAAGTCACATAACCTCTCCAAAACTCAGTTTCCTCATTTGTATGATGGGCATCCTAATTATACTTGCCTTATAGGAGAATATCAGGTTCCAATAGGATGATGTATGCTAGGAGCCTGGCAAGAGAAAGCCCTCAGGGAATGTCAGGTATTATTAGTCTAGTCTCCTGGGAGCAGCAGATGGGAGTGGGGCAGGGCCTGTTAGGTGCAGAGACCTTGCAGACAGTCCTGTTTGGCACCAGGAAGATAGCAGTCTGCTCTGCTCTGCTCCCGTGGTATATTTACAGAGGCTCACATGTTACCACCGTCATTATCCAAAAGTCCTTCCAAAGTCAGCACTGGGTGTAGGTGTGCTGAGCAGTGCCTATAAAAGTCTTGCAGACACAGCCCTGCCCCTCAAGACTTATACCCAAGGCTGCTCCCTCTGGGGAAGACAGAATAAAAATGTTAAACCTGCATGGGATTAGTGATGGTCAGCTCACTCCAGCACACCCCCCACAGCAATGACTAGAAAGAGAATATCCCCAGTGCAGGATGGATCAAAAGAGCCAGAGTAGAAATTGCATGTCCAGCCTCATAGAGCAAGAGGTGCAGCTTGCCCCGTTCTATCAAGGCTCTGTTATGTGGAGTTCATTTCCAATGGCAGCAGGTCTTCCAGCTGTGGCCCAGGCTCTTGACAGATATGGTAGATGGAAAACATTGACTGAGATCAACAGATTTTAGATTGTTTTGGACATGATGTGGCTGAGCCAGAGACCCAGGGCCTCATAATCAGGAAACCTGCCTGGTGGGATAGTGGTTTGCACCTTTTTTGCTCACGTAGAGACAGGGGATATGGTCTAAGCTATCTACATTCTCTAGCTCCTCACAAAATACACTAACATGCATATCTATATTAAAACATTATTTAAAACTTATTTAAAATTTGGACCTATTCTACTTCCATAAAATCTTCAAGTGAAACAATTTAAGGATATTTTTACTTCTTTTTATCACATTAACCCAATTTTATTAATAAAATTTTATGGTTAAAGGATTTCACACTTATAGACTGTCAGAGCTAGAAGGGACCTAAAAGACAAACAAATCTAGCCTTCTCCTTGTACAGATGAGGAAACTGAGACTCAGGCAGGTACTGACTTGTTTCAAGGTCCTGTAAGTGCAATGGAGTGTGGACTAGAAGCCAGGTTTCTGTATGCTTTCTTCCACAACATGTTACAAGACACCCTCTGAAAACACTTCTCAATGGCCTTTAAGTATCTGATGGAGGTATATGATTTATGACCTAGTTTTGGCTAAGACTGTAACCAAGCCAGGCCTGGCAAGTCCTCTACAACATGGAAGCTCCTTGAGGATGGAGCACACTTTCTCCTGCATGAACTGCAGAGCTCACATCCCTGGCATAGGTCTTTGTTGATTGTGCCTGATGGAGGAGAGAATGGATCGACTTGACGAGAGCTCTCCATCCTTGACAATGTTGAGGAGTCAGAACAGGGTGAGATTTAGGTCAAGTACAAGTTCTAAGAGCTTAGTTTTAAATCTTAGCTTTTGCCCTAACTTTTACATGATGTTGGGCAAGTCATTTAACCTCATTGAATTTTCTCATTGGTGAAATGGAGATGAAAATCTCTATCTCAAGGGATGTGAGAATACATGAGAAAATATACAGAAGAGGACATGGGATGGTGCCTGCCTCTGTTTTGTTGTTTAAATTAGAGAAATGGTTTTCAGTCTTCCCCTATTCTATCTTCTTTCAATCCAAAAATGACTGTTCTTTCTACATTCTTCTTCCCTTGATGGGCTGGCTGATCTCTTAGTCATTGTACTGAGCTTCCTCTGACTAAGAGGTGGGTGCTGAAAGACATCTGGACACAGAGGTGAGTGGCTATGAGCCACACTCTTGTCTGCTCTTGTTATTCCTGAATCTTACTCCATCTCCAAAACAATCACTTCTCTCTCCCATCTTCCATGGTCAGGTTCTGAAAAGGCTTGAGGGAAACTGACAAATCTGCATGGCTACCCCTGATAGAAGGATGGTCTCCAGACCCCAGAGACATGGCCCAGGGCCAAAGGATCCCCTGGACAGCCTGGAGCAGAAGGAGACCCAGGAGCAGGGACCAGGCCAGCTGGCCATGCTGAAGAAGGCCCAAGAATTCTTCCAGACCTGTGATGCTGAAGGCAAGGGCTTCATTGCCAAGAGGGATATGCAGGTAAGAAGTGGCCCAGGAAGGCCTTTCCACCTGAAATGCCAAATGGCATGGGTCTCTTGTCTTGGGTTAGGACTTGCCCCATTGCAAGTGATATCCTTAACAGAAAAGATATTGTCATTTCTGCCCCAGAAGTAAGCATTTTATAAAACGCTACTGGGAAACAGAGCTCCTAGGTTCCTTCTATTTCTGGATTTTACTTGCTGTCAGACGCAGGGTTTGTTTCCCATCTCTGACTCGGTAACCCCTCAGGATTATGGGAAATTATGCTAATAACATGGGGGATTTAAGCAAGACACAGAGAAGAACCTTCTAAAACTAAAGGTAGAAAGGCACCAACTTGAGTTATAACAACATCATTCCTGCTGGGTATGCCTTAGAAACAGCTATATCAGGTGTAACACTTGGGAGGAAGACATTTCTGGAGGTCGTCTTCTCTCTCTCAAGTGCAACCACATTTAACCCCCTCAAAACATGTCCAGAGAGAGAGATGGTATATCTCAGTGCACACTATTACCTACCTTAGGGCTCAGCAGCTCTTCCATAAATGTCCAGAGAATAATTATTTCTGACTTTCTAGGCTGTACAGTCTCTATTACAACTGTGCAGCTATGCAACTGTGAGCCAGAGGCAATGTGTAAACCAACAACCCTATTGTGCTCTAAGAAATATTTATAGACAATGAAATTTGAATTATATATAATTTTTACATATCACCAAATATTAATCCTGTTATGATATTTATCTCAACCATTTAAAAATATATTAAAACCATTCTTAGCTCACTGGCCATACAAAATAAGTAATGGCTGGGGTTAGGCTGGACACAGAATTTGCCCAACCCTGTGCTGGTGCCTTTCTGCCATTAGTGTCAAAGGCTTCTCAGTGTCTTACTTAAACCTCTCATGCTGCAATCAGTATTTCACCCTAACACAGATACATAAAACTCAGACTGCATTAGAGTGCTCTGAAAGCAACTCCTTCCCCCTAGCCTTTCTGTCACCCCCTCAAGAGCATGAATTGTAGGGATGCATACCCGTGCTGCTAGGTAAAGCCTTGACATGGCCAGCTGCTCTCTCTCTGTAAGTCTAGTTTTTCAGAGCACACTAAAATTGGGCAATGAAATGTAGTCCCTCATTAGCATCAGTCTTATCTCTGCTCAGCAGAGGTGTAGAGGCTGAGGAGTGGGCTTTGTGACTAGGGAAAAACAGGGCCATTCTTTCTCTCCGTGGCCCTGTGGGAGGATATTCTCATGCATCTGCTACTGTCCAGTTGTAGGAATTGAGGAAAGACACCTCAGGGATAGCACCAGCTCAGCCTGCAAGTTAGCTGGGCCCATCCTCTTTTGTGGTAATTGACTCCCCAGTAAGTTTCTGTGGCTGCAACCCATTCCCGAAGGCCCCCTCCCCATGGAAGGTCAGATGCAATGTAATTTTAGGAAACCGCTGACAGACCCCTATCTATGAACTTCATAATTGTCATTCACAGGTCTGGAGTCTCACTGGTCGTTGGAAGTGGTTTAATAGCATGCTTAACTTTTGATTATCCCTTCTAAAAAGAAAGAAAAGGGAATTCACATCTATCGAGGGTCAGCTGTGGGCCACATGCACTGCACAATTCACACTCTCTCTCCACGCATCTCCCAACTCACTGAGCCCTACTCTTTAATGAAGGCAGGAATGACCATGGTGAACTTAAAACAGTCAAGTGTAAATGTTTAAAGAAATCATTTGCATTTGACTTGACTTGGAATGTGGTTAGAAATCTCAAGTCCCAGAAATTCCCATCAGCATCCTCCCCAATCCTCACTTCTGACGCAGGCAGGAGGAGAAGGGTATGGACAAGCCACCGAGCAGACACTTGTGCATTGAGGTATTTATTTCCTCTGTCTGCTTAATTTTCTAAAGTTTTCCTGAACCTGTGGATAAGGAAGCATTGAAATATTCACTTCTCAGGCCAAGAAAGTTCTGTCAAGAAGGGAGAACAGAGCACATCATTTAAGTGCCATCTCTCCAGCTCCTTTCACTGGTTGTGTCAGGAGGAAGATGGGCCGAGAGGAGAGGTGTGAGAAGAGAAGTGGCCCTCTCACAGCCACTGCTGGCTTTCTGTGACAAGCCCCATCCCCCCCGGGTCTCCTGGGCCAGGTCCTCCAGCCATCTGAGCATTGGCTTATCATTTGCACATGCAGCTGCCTTGTGGGTACAACCACCCCTTTCGGTTGGTGTCCAGACCACCTCCACCTTTTATACCTTAGACTTCCAGCACAGTCTCATGGGAACTAATAAGGGAAGAACTCACGTTTTTGACATATACGTAAACTTAGCAACCAAGAAAGTTCTTTATGGCAGAGGAAGGTCCTCAAGGAAGGAGAGGCTGAGGCCAAGTGGGAGAGAGGTCACAGGCTGAAGAGCTGTCAGAAAAACAATGTTGCGAGAAAGTCAGGGAGACTTGTGATTGTGCTGAACAAGGAGTGAGGGAGGGACACTCCTCCCCTGGAGCTCTCCCACCTAAATAGAGCTGGGTCCACAGAAAGAAAGGGCAGGGTCCAGGAGCTGTTTTTAATTGGAATTCTCTGAGAAACCAAGAGAAACCCTGGAGGAACCGAAAGTGAGCTGCACTGAGTGAGCCCTGTGCTCACGGGCTCCACGTGCAGACGTTCTGCTCCAGGGAGGCAGGTGGTGGCCGTGGACCCGAGGGAATGGAATTTAGGTGGTGGTTCACAGAGGCCCCTCAGGTCTCACACCATCCTCTATGAGGAACCTCTCTGGGTTTCGTGGGGCCACTCCAGCAGAATTGGAGTAGGAGTTGCTTTGTGGGTGGGGACTGGTACAGTACCCCAGAGGCTTCACATGGGGCCGATCAGTCCTGCCTCAGAGGGAAAGAAGGACATGAGCAGACCAGGCTAGAGAGAGCACAAAGGGATTCCGTCAGCTGGGGGGGGGGGAGAAAGGATGGGCAGGAGATGGCTCTGCAATAGGCTACATCCTCAAAAACCCCGCTTCCCTGATTTTTTGGAAGAATGAAATGGCTGTCTACCAACACCAACACTGCCTAGGATTCCTGACTTAGCCAAGCAGTTAAGAAACATTTGGGGGTTGGCAAAGTAACCACATCTGGGCCTCGACCTGCTTCATAAGTAAAGTTTAACTGGACACAGCTGTGCTCTTTCCTTACACGTTGCCCGTGGCTGCTTGCACCCCGCAGTGGCAGAGTTGAGTAGTGGTGACAGAGACCAAATGGCCACAAAGCCTAAAGTATGTACAGGGAGGCTCCCTGGGTTACAAATGAGGTAGGTTCTATAGTTTGTTCTTAAGTTGAATTTGTATGTAAGTTGGAACATTTACCTATTACTTGTAGTAGCCTCCATTCAAAGGCACGAGTTGTGTGTGGGACATTTGTAACTCAGGGACATACTGTAATAACCTCTGTTTGGTAAGTACAAGTTTTATATAAGTTGGATGTTTGCAACTCAGGGACTCTATATTCTCTGACTCTTTACAGAAGAAGCTACCTGGCTCCTGAATTAGATTAACAAGAGCATTTTGAAAGATTTTTGTAGTAAACTGACTTGGGCTTTAATCCTGAAACTGCAATTTACTAGTGATGTGGATTCGTGTAAGTCTCTTAACCCCTCTGGGCCATAGTTTCTCGGCTGTGAATTATTAATAGCTACCTCCCAGCTTAGAAGAGAATTAAATGAGCTTAAGCATGTAGAGAACTTAGCTCTAAAACAGACCGGGAAATCCCTCCGTGAAACGCACTGTGCCCATACCACATCTCAGCCCAGTCCCTGGTGTCTTCTGCACTGTGATTTTCTTTAATTGTGGTGAAATATAAATAACACAAAACTTGCCATCACAACCATTCTTAAGTGTATGGCTCAGTGGCATTAAGTACACTATGTTGTATAACCTCATTATCCATCTCCAGAACTCTTTCATCTTGCAACATAGAAACTTATAAACATACTTAAAGTCAACGCCCCAGACCCCTCCCCTCAGCCCCTGGCAACCATCATTCCACTTTCCATCTCTGTGAATTTGATTACCCTACGTACCTCATGTACATGGATTCATGCAGTATTTGTCCTTTCATGACTGGTTTATTTCAGTGTCCTCAAGTTTCATCCATATTGTAGCATGTGGCAACATTTTTCTTCTTTTAGAGCTGAATAATATTCCATTGTATGTTCAGACCATAATTTGTTTACTTACTTGCTGATAGACACTTGGCTATATCTGTTCAAGTCTTTGCTTGAAATTCTTCTAAGTATATAATATGCCCAGAAGTGAAATTACTGGATCATATAGTAATTCTATTATTTAATTTTTTTAAAGAAACGCCATACTATTTTCCACCATGGCTGCACTCACCACACTATGATTTTAAGTGTAAGCTGTCTTTCCTGCCTTACAGATAAAGGGCATTTTTGCTGTAAAGGGCACCTTCCACCTGTATCCAGCTGCTGCCATTCTTGTTTGTGTCCAGCCTAAATGAGTGGCAGCAGTTTTGCCTCCTAGAGGACATTTGACAATGTCTGAGACATTTATAACTGAAATGACTGGAGAGGGAGGTGCTGTTGGCACCTAGTAGGTAAAGGCTAGGGGTGCCTCTAAATATCCTACAAGGCATAGGATGGTCCTTCTGCTGCCTTCCCCTCTTCTGCACTCCCCAAACAAAGGCTTATCCATTTCAAAATGTCAATATGTAGAGATTAAGAACCCCAGGTCTACACCAAGCAGTCAGCCCAAGCTGAGCGCATCAGTACACAAAGCAAGATAAAGGTAGTCCTGGACCTCCCAGACCCCACACACATTCTGAAAATATTTGGTATAGTCGAGCTAAAGATAAGGGAGGAGAGCAGTCTGGTGTAGATGCTTCAAAAGGAGAGACAGTTCAATTCTGGCCATAAAGATGGATCTCCTCTGGTTATCTCTTTAGTGAAAATTTCACCTGAGCATGTTTGAAACTGTGCAACCATATGCTTTAAGCTATATGGGGTATGTTACTGGGCTGGTGACCAAGAAGGTAGAAAGGTCTGGCTAGAGCACAAGGAAAGACATTATTTTTCCATGGGTCTAGAGCCTGAGACCTCAGCACGGCTGCTACAAGAGGTCTCCTACTCCAGGCCCTAGAAGGTCCCCAGTCCATCAGCCATTGCCAGGAATTAGCAGGTGGACTGGTTGGAATCTGGTGTGTGTGAGGTGTCACCGCGCTCTGTAGATAGAGTTGCTCTATAGACAGGGTCAGGATCTCCGGCTGTCATTCTTAATCATGCACTTGGTATTTATGCCTTCATTCAACACTATCTAAATGCTCGGTGTTGGGCAGCGTTGGGCTAGGTCCTGGGGACACAGTGGTGAGTAACAAGTGAGGTGGCTGTAGTCAGAGCACTGAGGGAGCAGACATTCATTAGTTAATGCATCTATCTGTATTCAAAATGCGAACTGAGATAAGACTTATGAGTGAGAGGAATGTAGTTTGGGGAGCCTACGTAACCTGACCTAGCCCAGGGAGTTGCAAGTGATGTGGAAGCTGAGAATGAAGAAGGAATTTGGAGTTGAGTCAGAGAGGGATAGCTGGCGTTAAAAGAAGCCATGGCATTCTGGGGCTGGCCGTGCTCCTCTAGCCATGGGCAGTAGGAACAGGGCAAGCTGACTGTCTCTCGTGCCTCTTCTGCTGCTGCCTGCTCTCCTGGACACATGGAAATGCTGTGAAAGAGATAGGATCTCTGGAAGGCTTTCTCTTGGTGGTTTGTTTTATGGTGGTGGTGCCGGTGGGGGGTGGGAGTAGGTGTGGAGAGGTGAGGAAGGGCAAGGGATTGTAGAATGAACACACTGGAGAGGCACTGGACTGCTGCTCAAGCCCTGGATGGGAACTGGTTCTTTTCCCGGCTCTGGTCTCTACAGTGACTTCAGGCACATCTCAGAGCCTTGCGGGCCTGTTGCACAGTGGAATAAATAGTCTTGTTGCCCTCTATCCTGCTTATGTGACTTAGTTCACAATGTAGACAGCACCCGGTGCCCAGGGGACCAACCACATTCTGATAAGTTGGTTTTACATGGCTCTGCAGGCCTGAGGAGAGAGATAAATAAATAAAATAAAATAAAAAAATAAAAGATAATTATGGTTATTAAGACTAAAAGACTTTTCAAGTAGGGCCAATAAAAGAAGGTTCAAGAGTCTTGTGTTGCACAGCTTGCAGAGGAGGCTGAGGAAGCAGGCAGTGCCAATTTGCCAGGGCAAGTGGAGTAAGAAGTACTTGGAACATATAATATTGTTTTCCTCATTATCCCTAACAAAAAAAAAAAAAAAAAATAAAGAAAGAAAAGAAACTAGCTTCAGAGATGGAAAAGAAGGCTTGGGATTAGATGAGAGGGGGCATTTGTGGTTGGAAGTGTTGTGAGGTTCAGGAGTGGTGTCCAAGGTGAGGTAGGAGATAGCCTCTCCTGGCTCACACTGACAGGTGAAAAGTGTGTGGGGTGGTTTGGGTGAAAGGCAAATTGAGGTCCCATTGACCTCTGACTTCTAGAATTTCCTTCCTGCTCATTTCCACAGTGGCTACAGCACCACATTTTAGAGCAGATCCAGCGTCTCAGGCTGAGGGTGGGAAAGGAGGAAGGATTATCCCAAGGAAAGGATTGGAATCCGGGCACTACAGGAGCTCTGGGTTTCACCCTACCTCCCAGGTGATGCCTTTGTTTCCAATGGAGCTAATGAACTTCCTGCTTTCAAAATGGACTCCCTCCTCCCCTGCTTTTCTTCCTGTGGCTGTTGAGACAGCTGGTTTATGGATTGTTGATAAGCCAGAGATTCTGCTGAATGCTAAGCAGACACCCTTCAAGCATCTTTGCACACTCTCCTGCTTTCCTTCCTTTCTTGAAAAGCTCGTTCATATTTAATTCAGTTCTTCCAAGTGGCTTCCACATCATCCTATCTTCTCACTTTGTAAAGCTTCATAGTCTCCCTTAATGCATGTACCTGCCAAATTAAACTTCATGGCTTCTCAATGAGAAGATTGCCATCGGATCAAGCCAAGTGTTCTTGCCGGTTATGTCTGGGCGTTCACACCTGCCAGCTTTTTTTATTGTTCAGACGGCTGTATACTTTTCTCCCTCTAAAGCCCAATGTTCATTGTCTTCAGCTGTCTGTCACTTGCACACAGGTGTGTTTGTGCAGATACTCCTTGGGTACCTGGGAAGAAGGGAGTGGTCAACTGAGATATAATGAACTCCCTCGGGGAGCCCTCATTTGGAGACTTAGATTATTAGGATACAGAGGATGCTTGTTCCAAAAATTCAAATTAGCCATAGCCTGGGGCCCTTGCACATCGGCAGAAGGCCAGAGGCAAGCATCCACCACTCAGCCACTTTGCTCTTTGTCCTTATTACTGGCCTCTGCCTGTCCCTCCTTGGAGAGTCCTAGTCAGCCCAGGACTCAAGTTCAGTGTTTATTTATGACCTGCTCATATCATCTTGTACAGTCCTTTAAGATACCAATATTCTTGGGGGCCTGATACCTTAAGCCACTGGCAGTTGACATTTTATCAGGAAATAGTTGTCAGCCTGCAGGGAGCAGGCACAGACGGGAGCCTGGGTGTGGGTCACTGGGGTGATTCAGCATCCCTTCAGAGCTGAAGGATCAAAAGATGTATCTACAGAAACTTGTAAATGCAGTAGGGCAGGAGGGGCCCCCAGCAGGGAAGACCTTGAGAGTCAGCGACCCATACCTGCATCCTGGCAGGAGGCAGCATGGCAGAGGAAAGGGGCCTGGGAAAACCCAGGGAGACTGGGTACGGAACTTAGCTCTTCATTCCTCCCTGAGTAGCCTTGTGAATCAGTGGACTTCTCTCTCTCCCCTCCTCCCCACCTTACTCCTTTTTATTGAATTCTGTCTCCCTGCCAGGCACTGTGTCATATGCTTTCTACTCATTATCTCATTAATTTTCCAGCCCCACACTGTGTAGTTATTAGCCTGCAAATATTTGCTCCTGTAAAGCTTTGTTCTTTTACAGATGTTGATCCTGCTGGCTTTGGAGTCAGACCTGGATTTGACTCCTGGCTGTGTCATTACTAGCCATGCAACTTTGCAGCCACAAAGTTAACCTCAAATTTCATCTGTAAAATTGGAATAATAATGCCTACTTCAAAGGGTTGTCATAAAAATTAAATGCAAATGACAGATACTTACATATTTATTTCTTTATAAATCACCTAGCAAATTGCCTGCCACATCAGTAGGCACCCAGTCAGTAGCAGCTGTTGTAATATGCATAGGAGGAGAAGGAGTGTGAAGCAGTCTGAATGCAGAAGCTTGCTCCTGGGTTTTGTAGGACTGGGCCAAACTCTAGAGATTTTTTGACATGAGTCTGTGCAATCCCAGGTCAGCCTCCTATGTGTGGCATTGTTAACTAGGGCAGTCTGGGTTGTTTCAGAGGCTTCATAAGGAGTTGCCGCTCAGCCTGGAAGAACTGGAGGATGTGTTTGATGCTCTGGATGCTGATGGCAACGGCTTTCTGACCCCAGAAGAATTCACTACTGGATTTAGTAAGTTCGGATGGATCCTGGGGACCCAGGGTCAGGGGTCTACCTAAAGCTGTATAATGTGCATTCCTGCCCCCCTCTGGATCTGGGGGACCATGTAGTATAAGTTTTCCTGCCCTCCTTTCAGAGATCCAGAACTTGAGGTCTCTAGGCTCCGGATCGTTTTGACGATCACTTGCATCACTGCTCTCACACTGCACCCTGTACTGTCACTGCCAGGACCCCTGCCATCCGAGACTGGCAAGGGGGATAGATGAGAGGTTTTGGCAGAGGCTTGGCAAAAAAGGGAGCTGTGATGAGCTTTGCAGCCCCTTCTTTTCTGCCTTGATAGACAAAAACATGGACAAATCATGGGATGACTGGGTGGTTCATTCCATCCCAAGTCTGGTTGCATCTTCCAATTTGCAGGATATCAGCCATCACAGAAGTTTCTAGAGGGTTTGAACAGACCAGTTATTCTCAAAGTAATAAGGACAACGGAGAACTGAGATTCTGGAACAAGATAAAGAAACCAGACACTGTCAGATCAGATAAATCAACAGGCAAATTTTATCATCCATTTGCCTCATGAAAAGGAGCATATAATTTTCTTAGGAGTATCTGATGCCTTCTCTGACCTCCAGGAGCTTATAATTAACTTGGGAGGACAAGATGGATTGCTTTAATACTAGGAGTTTGAACATGGAGAAGGAACACTGGAAACTGTTAAGGAACTTGTAAACGTGAAGCCCAGTGAGGCTAGCAGGGGCCAACTAGGATGATAACACAGAGCCTTGGCAATCAGGTGGCTGGGGGCAATGGAGGGAAATCAACAGAAAGATGTGCTATAAGTCAGGTTGTCATGGGTTGAGGACCACAAAGGAACCACTGTACCCGCCATGCCTTTTGCCTTCTGCCTTCCCCGGGTTCTCTCTGGCAGGTTGCTTGTGGAAGTGGAAAAGGCACCAAATCCAAAACGCGATGTCCACAGATGGTTGATACAGAGGATTTTCCCTTGTTCTTTGCTCCGAGGACTCTCAGATGATCCCAGGCAACTGAGAAAGCTGAGCTCTTCCCAGGTGAGTGTGGTCTAATCCAGACCCTTGTGCCCCACGCCCTGCAGGTCACTTCTTCTTCAGCCAGAATAACCCAAGTCAAGAAGATGCAGGTGAGCAGGTGGCCCTGTGCCAAGAAGAGCAGGTGTATCAGTCCCTGGGAGACACAGAGGAAGATGGGGAAGCCCAGTTCCAGATGTTAATGGACAGACTTGGAGCCCAAAAGGTTTTGGAAGAGTAAGTGGTGACAGAGATTTGGAGGATGGGGCCTAGCCTGGGAGGAACCTCTTTAGGTGCCCATTCAACAGTTAGAGCACCAGAGAGTGCTGGGCGCTGCCAGCTAGGAGCCCTGCTCCCCACAGCCTACCCTTTACAGTGACCTGTCTCTGTGTTGGGCTCTGTCCCTGCCTTTCACAGTTTTTCCTTGGGAAACATTCCTATTCTCCTCTCCATTCTCTCCCCTCTCCTCTTCCTGCTGTGTTTCCCTCACAGTTCCTGGCTCAGGCTTGCTCCCCCGGGGGGTGCTCATACATCAGGGGTCTATACCAGGCCCTCAGGGGCTTTCAGGGATCTCTCCCTGAGAATCCTTTCACTCCGGTAAAGGTATCTCAGCTGCCCCCCCGCCATATGTGCTTTCCTGGCAAAGTTCCCTTCCAGTGTGGAAGCCTTCACACTCTGTATCCCTGAGCAAACCAAACCTGCCAGGACGACGAGGTGAGAAATTAACCAGCTTCTACCAGCCCACCACTTGGATAATCAGTGGCTCAGCTGAAATTTCAGATGGCTGGAATTTCAAACAAAATATAATATCACAATTCTTTTTTTTCCAAAAAAGTGCTCCGTTATAAACACATGGATCTAAGCCCTGGTACTTAAAGTAAGGGAAAGCAAAACAAAACAAAATAAATAAAAAAATAAAATAAAATAAGTGATCTTATAGCTCTAGAAACCAAACAGTGGGCATGAAAAACATAATACCTTCTGCCCCTTTTCCTATCGCCTTTAGTCTTTTCAGTTTGGGGTCCCTAGGTCCTGGGTTGGGTGTGTAGCTGCTGACCAGTGTCAATGGCAGTGGTGGTAGAAGGCACTTGGGCAGGCAGGGCCAGGAGAAGGTGGGCAGGGATGAAGCACAGGGTGGTGGGAAGCTTGTTATCAGGTGCCTGACTCAGCTTCTCCAAGGACAGAACCCCGAAACACAGTGATCACTGCAGTGATGGAGTGCAGCCACCTTCCTGGCAGGGCTCTCAAATCAGAGTTCACCAAATGTTGCTCTGAGAATCTATGTCAAAGTCCTGTACAGAAATGGGCCAAAATGAGATATCCTGGAGAAGGAAAGACCTTGGGGAAGTTTCAAGAGTGGTCTACAAAAACTGAGACACAGAAGATGGTGGGCTTATACTGCAGCATGGGAGACACATTCTGAGTGTGGAGGCCGTGAGGACTTCAGAGGTCTTTAAAAACTTTGCTCACCAAATGGTTTATGTGTTGTAGAAGCAGAAGAGAGATGGATAGACTGACCTCTCAGAATCCTTTCTAGGTTATACTTCCAGCTTCCCAGCCCATCCTTCCATAAGGGGTGGCCTCAGTATGGTCTAGAAGTGGTAGGCTGGACATCGGGAGTCCCTGCTCTTCTTGGTGGTCTGATTGGCTAAGTGAGTTGGCAGCTTAGTGGGCTTTGGCTTCTGTCTCATCAAAAGTTGAGTTCTTCCTTCTCCAGAAATCTGGGGAGAGGTAAAATGGCCAAGACTAAGTATTTCAAAGAGCACTGGAGGAGGACCAGAGGGTTTGCTGGTCTCACGGGGGACTTTATCTCAGTTGGCCTCTGCCAGACTCCACGGGGATGGGCAGACCTAGGCTAGCAAGGTGGACTGGATTTTATAATACATTTACTTCATGAGGGGGCGTCTCAGTCCATTTGGGCTGCTATAACAAACTACCATAGATGGGGTTCCTTATAAATAACAGAAGTTTACTTATCATAGTTCTTGAGGCTGGGAAGTCCAAATCTGTGAGCAGAATTGGTGTCTGGCATGGTCACTCATCCTGGTTCATAAACAATCTTCTCGCTGTGTTCTCATGTGGAAGAAAGGGTGGATGACCTTCCTCTGGCCTCTTTTATAAAGGCTCTAATAACATTCGTGAGCACTCTGCCTTTGTGATCTAATCACTCCTCAAAGCCCCCCACCTCCTGATACCATCACCTTGGGGGTTGGTTTCAACATATTTGGTGGTAGGGCAGGACACGGACACGGACATTCAGACCACATTGGACGAAAACCTGCCACAGGGATGAGAAGTCATCATCGTGCCTCTGGAACCTTTCGTGACATCTGTATTCTGCCTATATGATGAAGTGAACACTCATGCCATGTTCTGTGCGGGGAATAGAATTCATTCTGGGAAACAGAGAGGCTCCTTAACCTCCCCTTTTTCTTGTTTCCCAGATTCACTCGTGTCATCCAGTACAGTGGTGGGTTTATTAGAGATCGTAATAAATACTTGTTGGGTAGACTGGGGGGTAGGTGAATGGATGGATGGATGGATGGACCAAATGAGTAGGTTAATGTTTGGATTGAATGGAAGAAATGGAGCAAAAAAAAAAAAAAAAGAAAGAAAGGAGAGAAAGAGAGAGGGGGAGAGGAACAGAGATAGGGCTGGAGAGGTGACTCAATAACTAATTAGAGGTAGGTCCATTTCTCAGTTGGCCTCTTCTCTGCTGGGTGCAGAAAGTAATGTGCATGCCCCCAAGAACATTGCTAACACAGCACCATCAAATATCACTCCTGAGGAAAGTTTCTCAAATACAGTGCTTATTACATAAGCACAGAGGATTTCATTCTTTATCTTGAGGGCTCCTGGTCATAGCTGCCCGGCCTGATTTTAGAGTTTAGTGGAGGACAAATCAGATTTATGTTTCTGTTTGTTTGTTGCTTTAAAGTGATTTATTTAAAGTGGTTCTCCCAGGAGAAGCTGGTAATGGATTTGGGGAGGCAGGACAAGGCAAGAAAGTAAAGCAAAGAAGCGTGCGTTTCAGGAAAAGTCCTGCTTCTCCAGTGGATGTTATTTGTATAGTCAAAATAGCATAAACATTTACTGTCATATCTTGGAATCAGTGTACAGAGTTTCTGAAACTTAGCACTAATTACAGACTTAGGGACTAATATCCCTAAGTCTATTAAAATAAAATAAATTTAGAGAAATTGAAAGAAACTTTAAAAAACTGTTGTAGATACAGTGAAAAGGGAACGTGAACTAGTACAACCTCTATGGAAAACAGTATGGTGATGTTTTCCATAGAGGAAAACGTGTGCACACCACATTTTCTTTATCCACTCATCAGTCAATGAGCACTGGGCAGTTGATTCCATATCATTGTAACTGTGACTCGTACTGCGTTAAACATTCTAGTACAGGGGTCTTTTTTCTAAAATGACTTCTTTTCCTTTGGGTGGATATCCAGCCATGGGATTGCTGGATCAAATGATAGGTCTACTTTTTTTTTTTTTTGAGACAGTTTCACTTATTAACCCTCAGTAGAGTACTATGGCATCACAGCTCACAGCGACCTCCAACTCCTTGGACTTAGGAGATTCTCCTGCCTCAGCCTCCCAAGTAGCTGGTACTACAGGTGCCCACCACAACACCCGACTATTTTTTGTTGCAGTTTGGCCTGGGCCAGGTTTGAACCCACCACTCTCGGTATATGGGGCCGGTGCCCAACTCATTGAGCACACACACACTATGGAATATTACTTATCCACAAAAAGGAATAAAGTAATGATTTTTGCAGCAACTTGGATGGAACTGGAGACCATTACGCTAAGTGAAGTATCTCTGGAATGCAGAACTAAATATCACATGTTCTGATTATAAGTTGGAGCTAAGTGAGGGGTAAATGTGGTCACAAAGCGGTGTAATAGACATAAAAACTAAGAAGGGGGAGAGTGGGCGGAGATAAGGAATAAAAATCTACCTATTGGGTATAATGTATACTATTCAAGTATCAGATACGCTTGAAGGCGCTGAATTCAGGATGATATAGTTCATCCATGTAACAAAAAACACTTATATCCCCTAAGTCTATTGAAATAAAAAATAATGACAGAGCAAAAAGGAATGGATACAAGGTAACTGAGGCAGGGAAGCAAATGTTGCAGTTTCTAGAGAAGTGTAGGTATACAGATAATCTTTATTGTCATAGAACAGAGGTCATAAGATAGTTTCTGTAATTAAATTAAACTAATTGAATGTGAAATGTACATTAAATAAATTTCCAGAGTTTAACAAAATTGAAAATCAAAATGTGGGCTCGGCGCCTGTGGCTCAAGCGGCTGGGGCGCCAGCCACATACACCTAAGGTGGCGGGTTCGAATCCCCAGCCCGGGCCCGCCAAACAACAATGATGGCTGCAACCAAAGAAAAGTGGCCAGGCGTTGTGGCGGGCGCCTGTGGTCCCAGCTACTTGGGAGGCTGAGGCAGGAGACTCGCTTGACCTCAGGAGTTGGAGGTTGCTGTGAGCGTGATGCCATGGCACTCTACCCAGGGGGATAGCTTGAGGCTCCGTCTCAAAAAACAAACAAAAAAAACAAACAAACAAAAAAAGAAAATCAAAATGTGATTACTCTATATTGAAAGGATGGAAGGAAGGGAAGGATTTATATTATCAATAGCCAGAAATCAGAAAGATTAAGAAATCGAATTTTTAACACAAGACTTGAGAAGACAGTGAACAAACATCTATTATATGAATGAAGTGTTAGAAAAAATATATATGACTACTTATTAAAATAATCAAAAGGCTGATTGAGGGGGTAAGATTTATATTTATCCTCCCCATTCCCAGAATAAAGTTGAACTGGTTATTTGTAATAAAGTGACCCGTGAGATTTCACTTTAGCGCTCCTTGTTTATTGTTATATAACTTTCAAACTTCCTGCCACAGCGTTCTCACAGCCTGTTAGCTGTGAGCAATTAATTTTCATTCTGTCTTTGCAACAAATCATTAAACCTATTCTCCGTCAGTTTAATGTTTGACTTAGTTTGTTCACTGGCTGTAGATTTTTCAGTTTCTCTAGAAAGGGAGAATGGGGTCCATGGTGTGTGGCTCTGCCTTCCTTCCCTCGGGTCTGCGTGAGCCCACGTGTTCCTGCCGCTGTGCTGCGCACACACGCGCCCCAGCGTGCCTGTTTCCAGGGGATGTTTCTGAGCATGTCATTCTGTGTCTTTGTCTGTCCGCCTGCCCCCGAGTCTCCGACTCTACTTGTCTTTCCCGGTGCACACACATCTTTCAGACTTGCTTCTTCCCTTTCTTTTGCCTGTCAATCATTTCCCCCATGTCACTGGGCCCCCGTGGGGTGATGCATATTCTCTTCCCTTCCTGCAGTGACAATTGCTTTCTGCCATCCATCAGATGGCATATCTTTACCTCTCAGCGGTGAGGACCAGCCTTCCTGGGGGCGACAAGCTCTCTTCTTTCTCTCCATAGCTTTTGTCCTCACATGCACTGGGCTCCCGGCCTCCTCTCCTCTTCCTGGCATTTTGAGATGCGCCCGAGCACATTGCTGTGCACGCTCAGCTCAGCACCACTAGCCCATCTTGAAAGACACAGGAGAACGGATGCAGCAGAGTGAGGTGACCAGCACAGGAGTAAGGCGGCCCTGAGTTGGACCCCCCACTCCATCATTTACTGCTGAATGATCTTAGTTCACTGCACCTCTCTTCGCCTGGTTCCTCGGCTGTAAAGGGGCTAATCGCAGCACCTGCCTGAGAGGGTTGCTGGGAGGACAAATTGAGCTGGTGTGCACGAAGTGCTTAGCCGGCTGAAAGCCCTTGTTTCCTTTAGCTACTATCATCCGTATCATGATCCCAGTGGTGCTGTTTCTGGCTGTTGGTTTCCACCCAGGAACCTCTGTGTTTCCCATTAAGCCTCCTTTCCACACTCCCACACTGACGTCCCTTCTCTTGCAGTGAAAGTGATGTCAGGCAGCTCTGGCTGAAGCTGAAGAAGGACGAACCTCACTTACTGTCCAACTTTGAAGATTTCCTGACTAGAATCTTCTCCCAGCTCCAAGAGGCTCATGAGGAGAAGAATGAATTGGAGTGCGCCCTAAAAAAGTAGGTACCCAGTGTCAGCCGCTCTCTGTACTAGTGTGAAAAACAGAACCATAAAGTGCACTTGTATCCTATGCTACAGCTTTCTGTGACAGCGTCGTACCACTGTCTGCCACGGTGGGGCTGGGCCCTGTGCTGTCATGATGCATTGGTTGTTATTTTTATTTTTTTCTGAGACAGAGTCTCATTCAGTTGCCCTGAGGTTGAGTGCCATGGTGTTATTGCTCACAGCAACCTCAAACTCCTGGGCTCAAGTGGTCCTCTTGCCTCAGCCTCCTGAGTAGCTAGGACTACAGATGCCTACCACAATGCCCGGCTATGTTTAGAGATGGGGTCTCTCTCTTGCTCAGACTGGTCTCAAACTCGTGAGCTCAAGTGACCTGCCTGCCTGGGCCTCCCAGAGTGAGTGCTAGGATTACAGGTGTGAGCCACCATGCCAGGCCAGGCATCTGTTTTTAAGCCTTTGCCCACCTTGATGAGCACTTACCATATGCTAGGCACTGTTCTAAATACACTAGCTCATTTAATTCTCACCACAGCCCTCTAAGGCAGAGATTGTTTATCATTGTGCATGTTCTGCAGATGAGAGAATTGAGACCTGAAAGACTAAGTGGCTCCAGGAGACCCAGTTTGTAAATAGTAGAGTCAGGACTCAGAGCAAAATAGCCTGGTACATGGAACCAGAAGGAAAATACTGTGCCTGCCTCAGGCAGTGAGGCCCTAGCATACTGGGTCTCCCCCAACTCCAATTGGCCCACTTATAGAGGTATTGTTTCTGTCTGTAGGCCTGCTGAATTTCCCCCTCCTGACCACTCCCTCTCCCCATAGCCTCACATCTCTTCTGCTGCCCTCTTTGCCTCCAAGGCCTCTTCAGGAGACAGGACCAGACAAGTTAAACAGCAGCACAGAAAGAAACTGCTGCAGACCTGAACCCAAGTCAGCACAGGAAGGTATATCACAAAACTGGGGCTAAACCCAGCAGACACTAGACTCCTCATGGAATTAGCATGTGATTATTAGGACTGAGCTGCTCACCGTCCACTAACCTACAGTCACAGCCATAAGCCTGCATTTCATGAAACACGGAATTAGAGTGATGTAACCTCACCTGGGGGTGAGGCCAAAACACAGGGCGGGTTCAGGGAGAACTCCATAGCACACCAGGGGCCCCTCCTTTGTGCCTCTGCCATGCACTCCTGTCCACACCTAGAGATTTGCTCCTATTCGGTAGGAATACTCAGCAATTCCACGGCCACATGATTCCACAGAGCACCTGCCCTTCATTCAGATGCTTCCAGAAAAACTTAGGGGTGCCTCGCAGATGGCAGCATTTTAGAGACTATGCTGAGCCAGTCTCAGAGAAAGCACACAGCTTTGCTGTGTGGATCATCCACCTGCACATTGCTCTGAGCCCCAGCTCCTTTTCATCTTGTGCCTCCCCAGCATCAATTCTAGAAACAACTCGTTGATGTCCAATGGGTATATACAGGTCTGAATAAAAGGACCTTTAGGACTCTGCATTATGAAGACGTTGAGACCAAGTATTGCTGGAGAAAACATGGTTTAGCTGGAGGATTGTTAAGAACATTCTGGGTCTGGGAAGATGCTCTCAAAGGTCAGAGAAGGGAAAGGCTGAGGGTTATACTTCTAGGTAGCCTTTAGCTGTTAAGCCATGGAATCAGAGTGGAGTCTGAATCTTGATTTTGCCACTCACTAGCTGTGCAACTTGCACCACGTTACTTAACCCACGTCTCAGAGTCTCAATCTGACAAAGTTGCGAGGATTAAGTGTAATAATGCATGTAAGTACTTGGAATAGTGCTGGCCCTTAAGTTTTCAACTAGTGTAGTAATAATTATTATTATTTTAATTAAGTATCTTTGTCAGTCTTGGAAATTGGTCTGATGGAAGTGGAGAGTTTGAGCCTTGATGTTATCAGAGGTGAAGTTTAAGGATCTCTTTATCCTTGCAAACCATGTGGTATAGGCTTGCTACTCTAAGTATAGTCTGTAGACCGGCAGCAGCGACATCACCTGGAAGTATCTTAGGATTACACAGTCTCAGGGCTCACCCCAGCCCCACTGAATCTGCGTTTTACTTATAACAAGATGGCCAGGTGCTTAATGTGCAGATTTGAGTATTGAGGGGCTGGGAATCGGGAGATCTGGGTCTGGGTCAGGTCTGGCTTTGCATCCAAGCTTAGCTCTGGGAGCTTGCTCAAGTCTCTTGGCCTCTGGGAGCCTCAGGTTTACCATCTGTAAAATGAAGGGGCTGGATTAGTTTCTGACCCAGCACTGATCAGGTGGCCCCTCTCAAAGAAAAAGCTTCTTCTGTTCTCCAAGGAGGATAACTGTAGCCTGAATGGGTAGGCAGTTACCCAACCACGGCCTACAGTCTCATCTGTAGGACCTCCTCTGTGGCCTGTGCTCCTGCATGGAGAGACATGGGCCCCTGACTTGTTGGAAAGCCTCTCCACCCTGACCTCCATCTTTGAGTGGTTTCTGTTAGTGCCTTGCCCTAACTTAGTGAGTGATTGCTATAGAAGTTGTTTAGAGGAAGGTCAAAGCCACTCTGGACGGTATGTGCAAAACTAGCTGAGCCAAAGGTCTCAGCCCCTGCATGCTCATACTCTAGAAAATGGGTTTGGAGGTTAGAGCTTGTTTGTGTGCGTGTGTGGCAGTGGGAGGGTGGGGCATTCATATCCAAGTTTTAGAGAGCGAAGTAGAGGAAGCCCTTGGGAATGGTCTGATTTAGGACAGAGTGTGGAGGGATTCCTAGGAGAACAGTGAGTACCAGTGAGCGTCCAGAATGTCTCTGAGGCCCCTCCTCAGTGTGGTGGATGACATTCCAACTCTATCTGGGAACTGAGCATCTGCCCCCGAGGTGGAGATGAGAGCTCAGGTCCCAATTGCTGCATGCCCAGCCCTGGGCTCAGCACCAGGGAAATATGATCCCTACGTACCCAGAAGCTAACATGCAACGAGCTGCCCTCTGTGCCAGGCTCTGCGTTGAATGAACAGAATACAGAGCCCCTATCTTTGAGGAGTTCATAGTCACACTGGTAAGGCAGAGCTAATGCCCATAGAAATTCTGCACAGGGTGGACCAGAAAATTCCCACATTGTTAAAACATTAGACAGTGTTGCCTTTCGCAATGGAAGCCTCTGCTTCTTTCTCTCTTTTGCAAACAACACACCTTATTTCTTTCCACCGTAAACCCAGAGGAAACGCCACTGACCTCTGGGGGAGTCTGGCAGTAACCAGGTTGGGCAGGACACGCACTCCCTGCCCACCCCTTCCCAGGCTGGGCCGTACCCCTCAGGGTTGCAGCGTGGCTGCATGGGTGGAAAAGGTCCACAGCTTCCTCTTCACGTTCACCCACCAGGGCCTGGGAGGGAGGAAGAGGATGCAGCTGAGGGGCTGAGGACTGGGGAAGGTCTTTCCAGCTGATGTTAGGAGTCAGGAGTCAGGGTGTTCTGAGGCACTGTCAAAAATAGCCCAGAGTCCTCTCTACTCCATAGCCATATAAATTTCTTTTTTAACCTGCAACTCGGAAATAGGGGAAGGAAACAAGTCTGGGAGTAAATATTCAATCTCCTGTCTCCTTGTCCTTTTTTGCAGAACCCTAGAAAATCTCAGACTCGGGTCAGATCCTGAGAACAATGCTTCACTCTGATGCTTGTGCACCAAGAAGCAGCCACAGCCCCAGGGGGCAAGGTGGAGGACAAAGTCCAACCCAGGAACTGTGGCTAAAGCCCAGCTCCTCTGGAACTTGCAGAGTGAGATGTGCTCCCTCTGTCCCCCACTGCTCTCTGAGCAGGTGGAGTCAGACGGCTGAGCACAGCCAGCCCTACGCCACATTCCCAGTGCAGAAATTCACGGCACTCTATGTTTTAGCATTGAGATATAGTTTAGACAGGAGGAAGAACTTCTGGCCACCAGAACTGGGAATTTCTTAGCCATGGAAAGTGTCCTCTACATGTACCTCTTTCTAAAACAAAAAGCTTGAGATCTCCAGGAATGTGGAGGATGCTGACTAGAGGCAGCACGGATTCAGACCTTTTGCTGCAATCACTTGAGGCTGGAGGAGGTGGTGGGTGGGAATAGGGACTCCCTGTAGTAGGACCGTATTCACTTGGTCTAGGCTGGGGACTTAAAGTCTGCATTTTTAAAGTATCAGGAGTAAGGATAAATAAGGCAGTGTCTGGGGAGTGCTTTGAGCTCTTTGAAGGAAAGAACTTTCTAGATCAAAGGCCCAGCGTAGGCTGTGCTCTGGGAGCAGCTGAGCAGCCTGGGAATGCCTCCCTGCTGCCTGTTTGGCATCACTGGCAGACCACCCTTGGCCTTGACAAGCTTAGCACACTCCCCATGCCTTCCTTGGAATCGGTTCCTCATCAGCATGTCTTACCTTGTCCATCTGAATCAGGCTTTTCACTGTTTTTTGGGAGCTCAGAGGGCCCCTTACATTGCACCATGTAGGCAGTGATTACCTAGGCACTTCCTGTCTAGAGTGATTTCCCTGGGCTCTAGCAGGGTGTCCAAAGCAGGAATGAATGTGTCTTTCAGCCTGACAGGCAGCCCCACCTATGATAGCCAACAGCCCGACACAAACTGGAGAATTGGCATTGCATGGAGCACAGCTTAGGGGCCAGGGAAACCTTTGCAGGGAAGGGATGCCATTAATTCCTTGACCTTTCCTCTAGATCAGGAAGCACATAAATTCCACTGGTTTCTTTTTTCTTTTTAAAGATAGAGTCTCACTTTATCACCCTTGGTAGAGTGCTGTGGTGTCACAGCTCACAGTAACCTCCAGCTCTTGGGCTTAGGTGATGATTCTCTTGTCTCAGCCTTCCGAGTAGCCAGGACTATAGGCACCCGCCACAACGCCCAGCTATTTTTTGTTGCAGTTTGGCCAGAGCCAGGTTCAAACCTGCCACCCTCAATATATGAGGCTGGCGCCCTACTCATTGAGCCACAGGCGCCGCCAATTCCACTGGTTTCTTAA